GGCGGACATTTCACGTCGTTGATTTCGAAGAAAATACATAGCCATACGTGGGCAAGAGGACTCTTCGCAGTCGTTACAAACCTGATCATTGCGATTAATCGTGCAGAAAAGCCGATCGGCAGTCGAATACGCCGGGCCTTGAACCTCTAATCGCGCGAGTTTGCCCTAGGAGAATGGTAGGGGGCACCATTCGAGGAACTTGGCAGAGAACGTTCAATTCCTTGCTCACGAATCGACTTCATGGTTCATTGATAGGACCCATGGATTCAATTATTCGTTGTTTGATATCGCGGTCTGACTTGGGAACGAAACTACCAGTTAAAACTACGATCTAGAACCGTTCATTCAAAAACTATCCAGAATGAAGATCATGGTTTCGAAACATATTAGGTACAAGAGGCAATCGTGATCGTGGAATTCGTTGATTTAACTTTATCTCGGGACGCTACGTGTCTTTTTTTTAATCGCATATTGATAATCGATTCACCGTCGTGGGTGTTGGTAATAATAGAAAGTTGACACGTCACGTTCCGACGCTAGACTCTCAAGTATTCCTGATGTCGATCTGAAATCGGTGACAACAACGAGATATCGAGGGAGAAAAACAAATTTTTTAATTATTGATAGATTTCGGAGTATCGTATTAAATTGTCGATAATTCGACACGATCGAAGGGTGGTGGGGGAAATTAATTAAATTCAGTTACGTGCAGAAGAATCGATTGCGTAATGGGATAGATACGTATTCCGGTGGTCCGAATATTATATAAGGAATTAGAACTTATCTCGTCAGATTAGATAGATGCTTCTAGGTTTTCTAATTCTTATCAATATTTATTAAATGACCCGTACCACCTCGCGTTTAAATATCTCGGTGTAATTTGATGACGAAATGTAACGTCGGTGGGTTAATTGACTCCGGTATGCGACGATTCCGAGCGAGGATTTCTAATTTAACGCGAATTATTACATCATTAGAAAGCGCGTGTGAGTCAGGCGGCCACGAGTTTCTCGCCTTTGACTGATCGAATTCCTCGATCGAATGCGGAAAAGATTTTTTAATAATTAATATGAATAAAATTAAAAAAAAAGCTTTTCCAACTACATCTAACAAAAAAAAGAAATCAAAGTAATCAAATTCGAATTCAATTCGTAAAAAACATTCTAAACATTCGAAAACCATTTCAAAGGTATCCTTGGAAAAAAGTGAGAACAAGTCTAAATCGTAGAATAAGTCTAAATCGTGGAGAAACAGATTTAATGGTGCTAGAAGGATGAGAAGTTGATTGGTTCGGCAAAAAATCCGAAAAAATCTTAGCTAGGCTGACACAAGAACCGAATGCTCGTCTCGTCTCAGTCTTTCGCGAAATAATCGATCGTTTTCAAACACTCTTTTTTTTTCTTTCGTGGAAGTCGGCACACGGAAACTGAAAGCAAACAATGTTGTCAGAGCGCTAGAGCCGGGTGAACGAAGGACTACCGTTACACGTGTGTTGGCAAACGACGAATGAAAGGGAAGAAAAAAGATACTTTGTCGCCGAAGCGCGGCGTTTACACGCGTATTCCGATCGGGGGATCGGCATTTAAACATTCTCGCCGGACTACATTGCCGGCGAGGGTCAGTGGTCACGTTGACGGGAGAAATGAACAACGGAGTCGCGGAATCCGATACGATTGCGAGGAATTCATTGCGACGAAAACAGCCGTCAAAATTCAAATTAACTGAAAATCCCGCGTCGCGTTAGTCGCGCGCTGCCCAAGACGACGCCGACTAAGCACTCGAATACCTAACGTTTTACGACACACGATAATAACCCATTAACTGATAATTCTTTTCCTGGAAAGCTGCGTGCAATTCGATGGACTTTAATTACTCTTCAATTAATTTAATCAGTTTTTTTTCTTACAAATACGAACCACCCGTTAACTGCGAATTTCTTTCCTGGAAATTCGTGCGCGACTCAATGAACTTTAATTACTATTCAGTTAATGTCAATTCGTTTTTGAATATCGACGTGTTATCTTCGAATTTTTTAATTGAAAAATTGTATACTGCTTGATGGATTGCAGCCACGTTTGATTATATGGAATATGTAATAATTTATCGTGAAAGAGATCGATGTAATATTCAGTCTAACAGTGATTGGAATAAGTTAGCGATAAACTGTGGATCAAATTGTGAATGACAATCATAAGCCAATCTGTAGGAGCCAGTAAACATTTCCATGAACGTATGCGCCGAATGTGTAGTCAGCAAAAAGCAAAATAAATGTCGGTTTCGTTTTTCAACGTACTATCGTATATAGAAGCTTGATATGAAATTTTGTATATAAATTAGCATATCTTGGTTTGGTAACGTAAGTCTTATGCGCAAAAGAAATCGATTCTTTGTTGTTTTATAATACCAGAAATGGATCTGATGTTATTTGAATAAAAGATAATTATTTAAGATAAGAGATCTAAGATATTCTCTATCTTTTAAGCCCCTGCATTTATAATATTGGACCCTCAATAGCGTTTTAGAGCTCGATTTAATAAATAAAATGAATAAAAATAACTAAACAAAAACATCCATTCCCATGAAATTAAAATGAAATCCTATTAAAATGACACTTCCAAAAACCATAAATCCATAACGAAAGGAAAACATTTCTAATCAACCCGTTTCCATTAACACATCGATTGCTCAACGATTCTCGAGTTACCAGAAGCATCCAACGATCAAATACAAAAATTCATAAATCACGCTATCTTATCATATTTTCTGCATTCGTCTGTTACAATCAAACTACGAATAACGAACAGATTCAAAAACAGACAGAAAGGGGAACACGTGAAACGTTATTTATCAAAAAATGGTCCCAAAAATTGACAGCAGTAATTTGAAGTCGCTCAGCAGTGAACCCCGAGTGGAAAATCAAATTATTAATTATGAAAGTGGTCATTGGGGCGCGTTTTGCACGAGTACGGTGTGACGTAACCCGTTTGCGAGGACTTATCGTGCTGACACGATTCCGTCTCGTCAATGACGGCGAAAACGGACGAAGAAGAGGCCACGCGCGGCCAGCGAAACGCGTAGGTACCTACGCAACGACCGGCTATGTTTTTTAAATTTTAAAGGGACTCGAAAGACGAAGAGAGAAAGAGAGAAAGAGATTGGTGGAGAGGTTGGGAGGGAGGGAGAACGCGTCTCGACGTCCCGCCGCTCACCACGGCCGAAAATAATCGTAACGTTCACCCGGCGGCGGTTGCGTGCGACTTTCAACGCGAACCGCCGACGCCCCGCGCGAAACTGACGGTTGGGATCGTTCAAACCTGTTCGGTATCGGCACTCGGACCTACAATGTCGTCGGGGAACGATCGGGCGACGGAATTATACGTTCCGCGCGGCGGCGTCTTCTCATAGACGAAACGCGTGGAACCTGTGATGCATAGTTTTGCCTCGTGGGCGGTCGAAAAGACAAAATAAAAATGGTACATGTCGATGTGTAGACGATGGACTCTTGAGCGGCATGAATTTCGACTGATAATTAGATTAGGGGTATTTGTGCACTGATTGAGTGAGCAAAATCTTTGGAAATTTATAAATTATAGTTGGAAAAGTTAAGTTCCAAAAGAATTCGAAATCCGAGAAGTACTGGAAAGTAAATGTGGTTTCTATGGTCTTTGATTTGTTATTTGATAATTTGCAATGTAGCGTGGGAGGATAATATACTGACCATTAAAAAGAATTAGAAATTTGCATGGATTGGTACTAGTTTAAAACAGTATGTAAATTAGTGCCACTTCTGTATTGTTTAAAATAAAATTGACGGAAAATATTGAGAGGGCGAATATTTTTTTCACTCATTGTATATTGCCTATTGTGACACTTGCCAAAGCGAATCGAGTTCCGTCCACCCTAGGACTGGTTTCTCTTTCCTCCTCTCTCCCTTCGCCACCCGACAGGGTTAGATCGTGAAAATGATAGGAGCAGCCTATGAAGCGTTCTTTCTTCGATGTAAATAATTGCACGTAGGCGTTCGGCATTCGTTGTGTACGATTACGTAACGTCTCTGTTTACCGGTAATTAAAAAACGAAAGTAACGATAAAGCTGGCTATAAATACGCGCGGTGGGCGAAGTACGAGGAAACAGAGAGATTTAACGTCGACGAGCCGCGCATTATCTGAACCGAGAGCGTGTCAACGCCGGCTTGTCAATAAAGTATCGAGCTCCGAATAAAACCAGAGCTGGGTAAAATTTAGACGAAAACTGTTTCAAATGGTGAACCGAGATTTTGCCCAATAAAACATTTTTGTTTCCTCCCCTTTCTATTTGCCCTTTTCCGATTATACGTCTCAAGATGCCTTCGTGAATAATTTCCCAGCAAAAGTTAATAATTAAAAGTATATAACATATAATCCACTTAAATTTAGAAAATGAAATTGTAAAACTCGTAAACATTGTAGAAATGATGACATTTACTAAAATAAATTAATGCACTTCAACGTTTGACAAACTCTATCGCAAAAAATGTCAATCGTTCAACTGACTACATTCCAACCACAAAATCGATTCAGCGAAATACTACCTAATAAAGTCCCGCTGTTTCCAGTATCCACGGCTAAAACACTCTTTTAAATACCCTTCTAAGCGTCATTGCTTTCAAGCTTATTCTTCCGATGAAAACCAACCAAAAAAAGAAAACAAATCAAATCATTAATCGTTCACCCCGCAGAGTAATTTTTCCCTGCACTGAAATCCACGAGAACGTCAGGCAAGTAACGATCGCCGTGACCGTGCCCAGAAAAGCTACAGCGAAAAAGCTTCAAAGGAAACCGCAGATTTAAATCGAGCCTAGCCGTTCGAACGTCCCCGGAGCAGCCCAGATTCCCCATTGAATGTATCGCGAACAATCCAAGAAACATTGGCGAGGTCGTGCAAATGTCGGTAAGGGTCAGCAACCGTCAAAATTTTGGGAAATTCAAGGGCGACACGTGGACCGGAAACGATCGCTCACCTCCAACATCCACTCCGCGACGATTTTGCGCATGAGCGGCGAGATGTCCCTCTGCACACACTCGAAGTAAGAACTGCTGGGCGCGTATCTCTCCTCGGTTTTCAGCAGATTCTGCAGCACACGGTCGTCACCAAGTAGAGCGGGATCAGCGTAAGCTCTGCATTCAGTCTCGGTCGTCTCGCAGCACAGCAAATCCATGTTACCGTCGCGTTTTCTAACCTCTCGAGCACGCTGCGGCTGTGCGGCACACACAGCCTCCTCTCTATCTCCTTCTCTCTCTTCTTCACACGACCTATCTCCGTCGCTCTAATGCAGGTCCGCGGCTATCCGTCTCCCTCTAACTCGTTCTACGCGACACGGAACCAACCGATCGAAGATTCCGCGTTTCTGTCGAGCAAGAGAGCAAGGAGAGGACGACACGGCTCGTGGTGCGCCACGGGGATCGTTCTGGCGTTCCTCTCTTTCTCCCTCTTCCCGTCTCGCTCTCTTCCCTCCGTCGCTATACTCCTCTTCTCGCGTCTTCTCTTTCTCTCTCCCGGCGGAACGTCCGTCGATATCACCGTCGTCGCCGTCGCCGTCGTCGTCTACGTCGTAGCCGCGGTCTCACTTTGCTCACGTGCCACGTTGCCAAACTGTTTTTCGCCGGCGCGGCCAGACAGAGCATGCACGTCGTCGAATCGATCGTAAAGATACACGGGACGGAAAAAGAGAGTTCACACAGATCCGCGCGGTGGGAATGCCCGGTGTCGCCCGCCGCCGGTACCGGTACCACTCAAAAACAGGGGGTGGACGAGGGAAGCAGTAATAACACTAAACACCAAAAATACTATGTCGTTGTACGCCGCAGCGCGTGGTTATGCGTATTTACACGCACACGTGCACGGGGCCGGTTGTGTACTTACGGCCGAGCGTGTATATACGAAAGAGAGACACGTTACAGGACCTTGGTTTCGGCCAATGACTCCGATATATCACTCACCTAGAGGACCGTCTACGCGAAAAACAATAATTTGTGTACGTACACGAGGAACTCGTATGTATACCGTCGGTAAGGTAGACAAGGGGGGGAAAAAATTGTTTCCTTTCATGCACAACAAACACCACTGTCCGTCGCCGTCGTCTCCGGTTCTGTTTTCGTTCTGACGCAGGATATCTCTCCACCGTCCTCTTCGTCCTTTTTTTCTTCCTTGCTCTCTATCTCCTCGTCGATGATCGTATCCTTCGTCGTAGGCTGGACCACCGGTCGTGCAGGGTGCAAGAAAGGACTCAGCCACGGGTTAACAATACACTAGGGGGCTTTTAATAAATAAGAAACTCGTCGACGGGAGTCAGCGCGTAGGATTCGAATAAATAAGCGTAATTCGGCCTGTTGCTCGTCGGTAGCGACGCCTCGGGTATCCTCTCCGCAAGTATTTCGGTCGCGAGCGTTTTAAAGTCCACCGGGCGAGAGATTCGGTCTCGGTCAGGATCCGCCGCGATTCAAACCAAAAAACGACACCGTTTCTTTTCCTTGACGTTCTTTTACGGGTTACTTCGTTGCTCGTCGTCGCGCGTTCGGTTGCGTAGTTTCGTTTTCGGTCTTGCCGTCGAGCGAGCCTGCTTGCGGGCGATTTAAATGTCCCAACGGTACGGCGAACCTGCCCTCACACACTCCCCTATCTCACGATCCGACACTGGCGACTTACCAGGTCAGAATACGGCTGCTCTTGCATTTCCACTTCGGCCGTCTCGAAGGGGAGTAGGTGCGTCCCCACCACTCGGCGCCAGCCAGTCACGTGACGTCGGATCGATCCCTACCACCGGGGCGCCAGCACGTCACATGAAACTCGACTGGACCCCCACCACCTAGCTAGGATGATTGGGGCGCCAGTGCTTCGATTCGCATCGTGTAACAAGAGCCCCGGTTTTCGGAGTTTTTCAGCTCTGACCCACTGCCACAAACGCGATTTTTTTGAAAAGTGATGCAATATATTATTTTTAAGTTCGAGGCACGAACTTGCGTGAATAAATGATAAAGTTTTTAATAGTTGCTGCGGTTTCAGATGTCGTATATTCATGCACTGAGTTATCCTATGTCCATGAAGAAACAGGAATCATTTGTATCGGACAATTTTGTTTCAGGAGCGTTTTAAAGAAAATTTTAAAGATTTTTATTTTTGAAATAGTTTAATTGTTTGCTGTAACAGTATAAGCTCGTTATCTGCGGCTTTACAGACCGAGGAACAACGTGCTACTTGAGAGGGATTGTCCAAGGTAGTTGGTCTTAGATGGGATGTTTAGTTTTTGACAAAATCAAAATTTTTTTACTATCTTTGATGATTAGAATATACTAAGTTTCCCTGTTTGGATAAACCTAGTGTAACTGATTGGTAACGTAAGGGTTAAAGATTTGTTTAGAGTATATAGCTTCTTGAGAAATTCTGGATTGCCAGTGGGTAATAGATTTCTATTGAATAAATTATTGAAAGTCAAATCAAATAGAAATTTCATCAGTGGATCAAATACTAAATGAAATGGACCCTGAATGAACTGTAACTCTATAAAGTACTTAATTCTATATGACTTTTATGATAATATAAAAAATGTTAGATTAAAACTTTTTTCTTTCAGTTCATTTTCCAGACTTAGGTTACCTACAGAAGTATTACTTAATATAACGTATACTTGCATCATATTTATAAGTACTTAAACTATCAGAATAATTCAAATTAGTTTAACGAATTCATTCGATACTTTCTTACTTAGAATATCTGTAATGGCGCTCGAAGGCCTTGTATCTTTCAGACCAATGGCCACGTTGAATGTTTAACAACGTGGCGTAGGGTGCCATTTACACGCGACCCGACGTTGGCTCGAGAGTGTTCGGAGAAGCACGAACCTATTCGTTTTCATTCGTTCATGCCCGACGTCGGGATACTCCAAGTTGTTTGTCCTATCGAATTTCCATGCCTTTAATAGACAGTAATTACTTAAGCACTATTATTGAAGCCTCGGAAAACTGACTCCTGTAATTAGTTCGAGAAGCTCGATGAAGATCGATGAAAATGGCGTCGAAAAGCGTCGGGAAGCCCGAGGAACGAAAGTCAGTTCCGAGAGGTGTCTCTGCCATACACAGAACAGGAAATGAGAATTTCTATTTCTCCGTTGAGAAAGGTCAATACAATGAATTGTAAATACTTCAACATCAATTATGAAATAGAAAATGAAAAGATAAATTAAGGATTAATGTTACGATCAAACTGTAACGTTTCAATATCCGAGGAATGCCATTCTACAAAGAATCATTTTGACTTGTGTAATCTTTTTAATTTTATGCATATTTTCAATGACCTACGTTGAATATAATTTTCGAGCAATAAATGGAATTACTTCCTTTTTTGTCATTTCGTAAAAAAGAATGATTCACGATTGTTTACGTTTTCAAGAATTCTTGTTTAATAGACCTGTTCGTATTCGCAAAAGTTTCCATTCATACGAAAGCAAAAACTTTCTGCAAAATATTTTGTTCTTCCATTTTCCCAATCACGTTTATAATACATAGTCAATTCCTTGTCTTACGATGTCATGTCTTCGGGACGAAGATTGTAAAATTTAAATGTTTCTCAATTCTCTTGAATCCAAATGAAATATTACTTTTTTACCATCCATTGTTAACTTTCGAAGTAGACGTAGACACAGAATAAATGTCAAATTCTTTTCCTTTTATAATAATTTATTAACGACAAAGCAGACAGTCTCGTCGAGTTGTGTTGCGAAAGAAATCATAGGGGTTAATATTAAACTGCGAGAAGATACGTAACTTATTCAAAATGTGATACTTTACACAATATTCATTAAAGAAACCATTTTCTATCATAAAACCCTACCTTCCTTATTACATCCTTAAAATCTAAATTTCCATAAACATCCACAACCCAATTACTACATAGCTACGCAAGTTACATTGTTGCAGCAATACGTATTGCTCTTAAAATGATAAAAAATGTCACAGTATATTCTTTAGTACAATTTCAACCAATGACAAAAAGCTTAAGATTAATAACAAATATAAATGTAACAACGTAGAATAAATAACCAAGCGTAACAAACAAGAAACACGAAGTTCATTCACGTTCCAGAAACAGTGAGTCTCCGGTGTCGTGATCGAACGAGCTTTACGTCTTCCCTCGTTCGACTGAGAAATTCTTGGAGCGTGTATAGGGAAAGTAAGGGCTACTTCCGCCGGATAATTTCAACGGTCCGGGAGGAAAGAAACGGCCCGTGCAGGAGTGGGAATGTCCTTCGTGCACGAAACCCGCGGGTTTCTCGTCTCGTTTGCGATCGGTACGCGCTTACTACGTAGCCCGTACGCCACCGGCGTGCAACTTACGCGACCGGATGTTGCCCGCGCGTACCAGACGACGTCGTAACTACCGAACAATAAGTGTTACGCTGGAATACTACGCGCGAGTAAATCGGGAACGGTCTCGGGGACTCCGGACGAGAGGTGTTCTGGGAGCAACGAGTAATCAGATAGTCGTTCGCTACTCGCATAATAGATCGTTACGATACTATTCGCTCGGAAGGGGATGCACGAGCGACGTGATCGCGTTTTCAATGTACCCTGTTAACACTTTGACTGCAGTGCCACTGTTGTCGAATTCCAGTCGCACCATTTGTTAGGGATATGGATTTGAAAATTCGTTTTCTCGGTTCTCAAATGAATTTTGGATCTATGGGATGTAAGGTTAATAGAGGAACCGTGGAAAATGTACGATCTTTCGGTTTCTGGTCTATTAAGAAGATTGTTATGAGCTTATCGACTTTTGACGATTTGTTAATTTGGAAGTTAATGTGTTCTTCGAGATATTATTGATATATGGATATTTGGGTTACAGCAACGAAGGTAATGGTATTTTATTTAAAATGAAGTGTCTGTTAGTAAATACTGGTGAAAACTAATATTGTTGGTAAACACTGTGAATGGCGAAAAGGACGATACTGTTTCCGAGAACTGTACGAAAAGGATACTGTTAACAAAATACTATAAAAAAACGAGTGAAACGAACGAAAATAAAATTTTTATCGTACATTTCGCTAAATTATTTGATTGGTCATGCTGGCAACCTCGTGCCTGGCAATTATACAAAACAACGTGTCGTGTTAGTTGACTAAAAGCGTTAACAATTCTTTCTTCACTTTCAGCGTTGATGGTATCAATGGAATTTAAAATTCAAATGGTACACGCGGTAGCATTCGTTAACATTTCGCTGCTCTGGATGTTATTAGTTCACCTTAATTAGGCTTTACTGTTATTTTTAGCGAGCACGTACCTTATCCCGCATCCTCGATATACAGGGAACAGTCAGCGTTTCGAAAGAGGTGTGCTTTTAACAATGAACGCGTTCGTAACCATTGTTTCTTCCCATTCGTGAAGAAACTATGAATGCCAATCGCTAAGACAGTCGCGTCACCCAATGTAGAAATAAATTGTCGAAAATTTCGTCAAAGAATTTTGTTTTCTTCTTGTTACAGATGTCATAGCATCTTAGTGGAGAATTTGCGACACAAATTTCTTGAGTTCCTTTATCATCGTACCAGCACACACCTATATTAGTCTGTTGTCACGACTCTCATCTTGAGTTGACTTGTTCCGGATTATTGACTCTTGCACAATGACTGTTTCGTGCTTTGTATACAAACTTATCGATCAGCTGACTGCTCGCCCTATCATTCCAGAATCGTTGGAATTTCATGTGTCCACCAAATGTTTAGGAATTCTGTATTTTTTTATTATTGAACATTCTATTACAGCTAACCTATGTTACAGTTGAGCTTTATGTGTTATCTTGCTAATCTTTCTTCCTTTTACTTTAGAAATAAAATTTCCAATAACACTGTAAGACCCTTCTGCAATGAAATCTACCCAAACTAAAAGTACGAAGAATGACAAAAATAATATTAGATCTACCGGAAACTTCTGACCATTTTCGAATTAAAAGAAAATAATGCGTTTTCAACACATTCGTATTAATATTTACTGAACAATATAATTACGATCATTACTAATAACTTCTTTCCAGCATGATGGCAATTCCTGGATTCCATTTCTTTAAAATGCCACATCTTTTAAAACTTGAGATGACATTAGCAAACAGAATTTTCTATAGACCTAATATTTAAGTACTCAAGATAACTGAATCTTTATTTCATTCTTACTTCTCGATCACTCTCGAAATAATCTCCCAATCCAGGAAACGGTGTTCGTCGGATAAAGCATTGACTAATTTTGTTGAGATTACATTATCGGACAGAATTTTCTGATAGACCTAATATTTAACACTTACCCAACCGAATGGGGAGATCTTCAACTTTTCTATTGGCAACGCATTGCCATTTATTTAATTTATTTTTTCTTTGTTACTTAATGAGCTTTGAACAGGGGATATTCACAATTCATTAAGTACTTTTCTCGCGTTTACGAAGTACAATTCTTAATGAAATCTGTTGATCGAGTTTAATTGAAGTGAATGAAAAAGGTTATAGTTATATAGTTTCTTTGCAGGCAGTTTCCTAAGTAATGTAGTCAAGATAACTGTATCTTTATTTCATTCTTACGTCTCGATTATTCTCAGAATAATCCTCGAATCCTGGAAACAGGGTTCACGGGATAAAACATTGACTAAATTCAACGAACGTTTCCGAAACACC